TTAGGCAGTTTTTACTGAAGAAATGTCCCTGTTCTCAAATGGCGAAGCGGGATGCAGTCCCTGCGCCTCCGGTTTCAGGCACACTCTTTCTGCGCCCCGGTCTGCCCGGACGTGGGTGGCCTGCTCCCTCTTGGGCTCAGACTGCTGGTCGTAAGGGACCTGGCGTGGAATAACTTCCTGGCTGGCCACTGGGTCCTACAGAAGCCTTCTGCCCTTTTCAAGCAGTCTTAAGAAATTTCCTGTTCTATGGGGTGTTAGTGACTTTTTTTTTCCTGGTCGCTAGGTGGCGCCAGAGATCTCTCCTATTGTCCTTGGGGGGCTGTTTTTCGCCTCCCCCCACCCGTGGGACAGGGAACAGAGCGGGAATGGTAGGGTATACCTCAACAGCTTTGGGGTGCTGTGTCTGCCTTGTGCCCCACCGTCGTGGAGAACCACGCCCCGAATTTTCGTGCCCCGGGTCTCAGTTCAAAGCCCTCAGTTCCAGGACGCGGGCTGTAGCCCAGTTCAGTGGCGCGGGAATGGCGCCTTTTGCACCGCTCCCGTGCCTGGGGCCTGGTTCCTGCTCACTCAGGGAGGGACCTTCACGTCAGTGAGGACCTCCGCGCGTCTCCCCGCAAGCCTAGGTCGTCTCCCCGCAAGCCTAGGTCGCAGGCGCGGGGACCTGGGCAGCTGCAATCCCGGTCTGCACTTGCTTTTCAAGCGCGCCGAGCGCGCCACTTTTCCGCGCCAGCTTACCGGCAGCCCGGGCTGTGTGCGCGTCTCCTGGGGTCTTTGTTCTTCTCTAATGGCGCCCGGAGCCGTTCGCTCACCGCCTCGGCGGATCCTGCAGTGTTCGCCTCAGCTCCCGTTCACGGGGTGTGGTGGCTGCAATAGTTCCTTTCCACGCACAGTCCCGCTTGCTGCGTCGTTTGTTCTTGTTGGTCGTTTTGGTTTGTTGTTTCCCTCCTCTCTGCCGGTAGGAGAGTGCCGCCTCTGTGGGCGGGGGAGGGGAGCAGGGTTCTGCGCTTCCCTCCCTTCTAGTCCTCTTTTATGGCCACTTTCTTCTTCGGGTAGTTTGCTGGAGTCACCCGTTTATCTTCCGTGTCCCAGTTCTCACTGGGACCTGCCACTTTTCCTCCCTATTAACTTTTTTTAATGGGAGATCTTACTCGCAGCGTCTCCTCGCCGCCATGTTGCTCCGCCCCCCAACAGGGTATTATTTTAAATCTCCCTTACTTCCCACCAAGAATCTAACTTGGGAACTCCTCAAAACTAAAATTTTGCCTTCATTGTTTAAAGAGTTTCTGGCTACAAAAATAATGTGTGTGTTCAGCATAATCTCCGGTACAAAGCATGGTCATCATAGTATTCATAAAAAAAAAACAACAACAACATTCAGTGGACCCCTATTGAGAGTTTACTGTGAGTTGCAACACTCTTTATTTTGCCACTGAAATAGCAGCTGCTACTTTTGTATCCTAAATGCTGAAGTTATGTTTAATATCTTTAATAGAGTTGGTATATAATAATAAAGAGAATTATTGTTCTCAGTTGTAAAGGGCCTTTCATGTAATGCTGTTTTCACTTATTTGGTGCTATCTAGTCAGCTAATCAACAATATACCAAAACGGAAAAAAAAAATCAAAATGAAGAACTGAATCTAGAATCTATACCTATAATGAAACTTGTGAGATTTATTCACTATATAAACTACAGCCTATTCTTTCAAAGAGGAAGATTATAGACAGGGCCTCAGGATCAATCAAGGAATAGTGACTTCATTCCTTACTCTTCAGTTAAAGAAAATGCCACTAGCATGAACTTATTTTGAAGAAAAACTTAAAGATTAATTGCTAAGATTTCCTTCACAGAAAGTAGTATAGAATTTATTATTATTTGTATTGAAAGAGGTCAAAGAGAGAATTCTTCTAAAAACAAAGATCTATAGCTTTCTTGTAATTGATAGATAATGTTCAAAAGGTTAGACCTATTGCTATGTGATTGAAAAAAGAGGAAAATACAGTGATATCATTTGAAACCCTGGCTTCTTTGCTTATGAGCTCTATGACCTTGAGGGGAGTTGTTTACCTTTCTGTGCATTAGTTTTCTTATTTATAAAATATATATTTTTATGGTGATAATGATGATTCAATCTAAATTCTACTGTTTACTAGCTGTTTGAACTTGAAAATTGGTAAGATCATTTTGCTTTAGCTATTTCATTGTATTTTATTTGGGGGGAGAGTTCATAATATGTACTTAACAAACAACTGTCACTAGGTTTTTAGTATAATGGACTCTCTACACAGAGGAGTAACGAGAAACTGTCATTTAGTGGGATGTACTTCTTGTCATATTCTACAATAGGTGCTGCTTCAATCAGTTTCTTGCTTGTTGATGATAAACCACTTCAGTTGGTCTTGCCAAAGGGTTTATTAAATTATATGGTTTATGAAGTGATATTTGCTGAAATCATACTGCTTGATTGAAATTCTGAGGAGATTATATTGGCACCACAGCAGGGTACATACTCACAACACTGGGCATGCCCATTAGGAGAGGCATCTGACTGAAAAAGCCAGCCTGGGTTACATGTCTGCATCCTATGTATAAAGAGGGTTAGGATTCTTGAATTCTGTTTTAAGGAAGAGGGGCTGTATGATTTGAAATTCCCGAGACTTTGGAAGGGTGTTCAAACAATGCTGGATAGGTCAGAAAACATAATAAAAAATACCATAGCCCTTTTACATAAACTCTTTTAATCTCTGCAATTACTGATGAAATGTCATTGCAATTGTCCCTATCTAGACAATGTAATGGAGACTGAGGACCATTCCAAAGTTCTCAAGTACATAGCAGACCTGGATATAAGCCTAGGCTATCTGTCTCCAAACCTTTTAATTTTTCTTTGATGCTACTTTGCCTCTTCAAAGTGGATGAAGATGATAAATTTTATCCCGGTATCCTTAGTCAGAAACCAAAGTAAATTAAATATAATTTTTAATACATGATAGATTTCATCAGTAACCAACAAAGTAAATTAAAATACTAGTGTCTAAACAAATAGGATATGCATACAT